CCTCTCCTAGGGTTTCTTCTCTCAAGAACTCACAAAGATATCAAACAAGAAAAGCTGGAATTTTTCATTCATAATCATCATCATCATCCAAATACAAGACAAAAGACTTAATATATAAGCCTCATAGAGAAAGAAAACAAATGACTAAAATGCCCATAGGGCTACAACTCAACTCAACACACAAGCAAGGGTACAAACATAAATAAAGAAAGTTTGAACTAATACATAAAATATCAAATATATAAGCTCCTCATCGTAGCCGTCGACCTACGATGCTTCCGGCGGTAGACATTCCGAAATCTCCTACTGATATCCTCATCATTTTCCCCTGATGGGAGAATGCTCGACCCCATAGAGTAGACGTCAAGAGTGCCTTCATATAACTCTAGAATCAGGATTCAGTCTTTGAAGCTCAGTATGATCAATCCACACATTTTCCGTTTTCGATTTCCCTTTCCATTGGATTAATTACCTTCGGTGCCCTCCTTTGGTAGAGATAATTTCATCATCCAGTATTATTTCGTTCTCTTCCACAGTGGGTAAAGTGGGTATGTTTGGAAGTGGAGGTAGGCTAGGTTTCTCATCAGGTATGGACTCACAGGGCTCATTATGGAGTGGATTTGGGGGGTTGAACTTTGGTCCCTCAAAGGCTACAAGATCTTCAATGTTATATGTAGGATTGATGTTAAGACCTTTGGATAGGTCTATCACATAAGCGTTATCATTTACTTTTGAAATTATTTTGAAGGGTATAGCATGTAGTTTCTTAACGACCCCTTGCGGGAATCGTTCCGGACAAATCCGAACCATTACAAAGTCTCCAATCTTAAATTTCTTGAATCTTTTCTTGCGATCTGCATTGAGTTTATAGTTATCGTTGCTTAGTTCAATTCTCTTATGAATTTCTTTATGCAATTCCTGAAGGTGCGATGCAAATGCAGATGCTCTAGACTGATGACTCATAGGGATCAAATTTAAAGGTTGTCTAGGTTGGTATCCATAAATAATCTCAACGGACTTATACCGGTGGTTCTGTTAACAGAGTTGTTATGGGCAAATTCGGCTTATGTGGATGCAAGAGACTCAGTGTGCATGATGATTGACATGAATTGTGGGCTTACACAAAAGTTATAAACAGAGAAACTTTGAAAGAAAACATACACACAAAGCACACATAGATATGAATAAAGATGGATCAGTCACAAAATGAGAGGATATAAAGTTTTCATGTTTAAGGGAACTAGTATAGGAGGAGCAATGAAGACATTTTTAGCAAAAAGAGCATTTTTGTATGGAGTTTCAGCTAGGGTCATAGATTGTCTCCTAGGGGCAGCAGGGTAATCTAGCAAATTTATCCAATTAGGAGAGAGAGGGTCCTTAACAGGGAAGGACAATAATATAGAGTGCATAATGAAGGAATCAAGAACATGATAAGATGATGAGTCCTGATTCACAACCATAATGGGATAGCCTAAAGAGTCACAGTAGGTATGAGACTCAAAAGATGGGGTAGGGTGTCTAGAACGGACGTGGGCACAATAGTTAGAGTGGTGACATGAAAGTATGGGCTAATACTCACCCTAACATTAAAGTCAATATGAGGAATGGTGATATAAGCCCAATCAAGGCAGCTACGCTCTATCAAATGTAAATCTAAAGGAGCAACTCCTAAAATAGACTCCAATAAAATAAGAGGATGCTCATTTTTCAAACTATGCTCAGAATCATTCATATTCAAATTAATATCTTCCGAATTCATATTAATATTCTCAATAGGGTTAGGTTTAGTTATAACCCTAAGATGAGTGGCTTCGGGGTCAGTTAAATCGGGATTTAAATTAGGTAGTAAATTCAGTTGAATCACTTTTAACTCAAGATTATCCCCATCACCATCAGAGTTATTCAAAATTAAATCGGAATTATTTAGAGTTAACTAAGTAGGAGATATAATTAAATCAGAATCTTCTGAATTTAATCTCAATGTGCTCGAGGTCAGATCAGTTTCTTTCGAAATCAAATTAATATCATTCAGGCAGACCTTATCCAACGGGATAACCTTGATGTGATTAGGTTCAGGATGGGCTAAGGTATCAATGTTAAAGGCTCTAAATCTCCTAAATCAGGGTTTAAGTCATGCTGTGAGTCAAATTCAATCACTTCAATTTCATTCTCAAAGAAGTCATCGTTATCAGTGATATCATTAGAATCCACGAAATAGATGCACTCAGTCTCAGGTTCATGGAACTTTTCCTTTGCAGTGCTTCTTTTGGGTACAATTACACTTGTAGGGTCAAAGATTGGGGATACCAAAGGTTGTGTAGCCTTAGAATCCTCACTAAATTTAAAGGTGGTAAAGTCACTCACGTAGTGTGGTAAATCGGGCTCTGCCACACAGAGAGGTCGCATACTCGGACAAGGTGGATTGGGATGTGGCTAGGAGTCGGCCCAAGTGAGGAGTCATATGGGACCAATCCAACAGAAGACCCATAGAGGGTTGGCCATCAAGGCTAGGTGAAGATCTATAGGGTGGGGCAACAACCCTGAAGTTACTAAGGGATGGGTGGTTTCGGCCACAGTGATGCCCACGGGTTGTCCCAACACAAGAGGCAGGGTGGTGTTCCAGATGAAGATCACTAGGTGTTGTGGCCACTACGTGAGTTGGAGTGGTATGTCAGTCAGATTTAGGGGTAACCACTGAGGTAGGGAAATGAGTAACTGCTGCTTGGTGAGGAGTATGAGTTACGATATCAGATTGGAGTGTAAAAGATACGTAGGACTGACTTTCACGTGTAGGGTTCTTGAGAATGTTGTACCCTAAAGTTTGATGAACATGGAATGATCTAATCTTAAAATCAGATGGTTAGCCACAAGTAGGGGGAAGATATTTTAATCTAAGTTCTCGTCTCATGACCCCTCAAACTTAAGGGGAAATTATATAAGATGCTTTATGGTGCCGAATGTTGGCCATGAAAAGAGAAGCATAATACTAAGTTAAGTGTGGCAGAGATGAGGATGCTCAGGTGGATGAGTGGCTTTACCCTTAGAGATAGGATACGAAATGAGCATATACGTGAAAAGGTTGGAGTAGCTCCAATATAAGATAAAATTAGAGAGAGTCACCTTAGATGGTTTGGTCA